GCCGCGGCCGCGCTCGCGCCGGCGCGCACGCCCCGGCCGGCGCCGCCTGCGCCGGCGCCAGGGCGCGCGGCGGCGCTGATGCGGCTTGCCCGCGAGACCGCACAGGCTGCGGCGACAGGCCCCACGGCGGCGCCACCTCAAGCGTCGCCGCCGGCCGGAAGCCAATTTTCGGGTGTGTTCGTCGTTACAGGCGGCACCAGCGGCGTCGGCCTGGAGTTCGCGTCGGCCCTGGTGACCAGCGGCACCGCGCGCAACCTCCTGCTCCTCGGCAGCCGCGGCGCGGCCGGCCTCTCGCCCGCCGCGGCCGCGCTGTTGGACGCCCTCCGCGCCGCCCACGGCGCCCGCTTCTCGGTCGCAGCCTGCGACGTCTCCGACGCCGCGGCGGTGCGGGCGGCGCTGGCAGGCGCGGGCGGCGCGATCGAGGGCGTGGCGCACTTCGCGACCGCCTACAGCTCCGACTCGACCGCCAAGCCGCACCCACGCGGCCACCCCGCATTCACGGTGAAGGCCGACGGCGCGCTCAACCTGCACGCCGCGACCGCGGGCCACCCGGTGCGCGCGTTCCTGCTGGCCAGCAGCTTCGGGCGCGTCAGCGGCATGGTGCGGCAGGCGTCTTACGTAATGGCAAACCAGGCGCTCGCCGGCGTCGCGCAGCTGCGCTGGGCGCTGGGCCTGCCGGCGGCGGTGGTGGACCTGCCCGCCGTCTCGGGCTCCGGCTTTGTCAGCGCCTGGGCCAATGCGGGCGAGGTGCTGCACGCGCGGAAGCACCTGGCGGTCATCGGGCTGCGCGACATGGCTGCGCGCGACGTGGCCGGGCTGCTGCTGCGGCTTCTCGAGCCGGGCGCGCAGCAGGCGGGCCGGCCGGCAGCCATTCTGCCGCGCTGCCCGCCAGCGGGGGGCGAGCAGCGGCACATGGTGTACGGCTACCTCCAGCACTTGCTACAGGACGACGCATCGCCGGCCGGTGCCGTCGGCGTCGGGGCTGCCGAGCCCCCAGCGGCCGCGCTGGCGCCGCTGGCGCTCCTGCAAGAGGGCATCTTCGCGCAGGCCGCGGTCGAGGCGGCTGCTGCCGCGGCTGCGGCGAGCGCGGCTGCTGCTGCTGCTGCTGCTGCTGCTGCGGCAGCAGTGGCATTTGATGGGGCTGTGCCTGCACACGTGAATGCTGGCCGCGGTGGACAGGCTCAGAACGCACCTGCCGTGGCCGCCCTCAGCGGCGCTGCAGATGCGAAGCGCCGCGCCGCGGTTGTGGCCAAGCTGGCAGCGCTGCTGGGCTGCGCCCCTGAGGCCATCTCCGACCACGAGCCCCTGGCAGACCTGGGGCTGGACTCACTGGGCGCGGTGGAGCTGGCCAACTGGGCGGCGCACGAGTTTGGCACTGGTGGCAGCGACAGCCCCAGCGACGGCTCTGCCCTGCAGCAGCTCGACCTGCTGGGCGGCATGACGCTGGCTGGGCTGCTGGCTGCGCTGCCAGCTGTTAGCAACGGCAGCAGCGGCGCTGACAAGCACGCGCCAAGCAGCGACGACCCAGCAAGTGGCGCGGCCACCCCGGCATGGGCGCCTGCCACGGCGAGCCCCGCCGGCTCTGAAAGGGGCTTCCTTAGCAGCAGCGGGGGCAGCCTGGCCAGCAGCGTGGCGTGGGAGCAGCAGGCGCCGCCTGCAGCCACGGCTGCTACTCCGCATGCCGCCAACCCGGGACCAACGGCCTCGTCCGCCGTCCATGGCGGTGCTGCGGCGACTGAGCGCCGCGCCGCGGTTGTGGCCAAGCTGGCAGCGCTGCTGGGCTGCGCACCTGAGGCCATCTCTGACCACGAGCCCCTGGCAGACCTGGGGCTGGACTCGCTGGGCGCAGTGGAGCTCGCCAACTGGGCGGCGCACGAGTTTGGTGCTGGCGGCAGCGACAGCCCCAGCGACGGCTCTGCACTGCAGCAGCTTGACCTGCTGGGCGGCATGACGCTGGCGGGGCTGCTGGCCGCGCTGCCGGCTGACGGTGGCGGCGTGGCGGAGCAGGGCGTGGTCCCATCAGCAGACAGCTTGGAGCCAGCGGCCTGGGCGTCAGCTACAGGCAGCCATGTGGGCGGCGATTACGGCAACCCCAGCAGCAGCTGGGAGCAGCAGACGCAGGTGCCAGCCGCCTCAGGAGCAGCAGCAGCCGTCGCCAGCGGTGTACAGGCTTATGCCGGACCCATCGTCGAGGCTAGCAGTGGAGCCATGGCAGCCGAGCGCCGCGACGCAATCGTGGCCAAGCTGGCAGCGCTGCTGGGCTGCAGCCCCGAGGCCATCTCTGACCACGAGCCCCTGGCAGACCTGGGTCTGGACTCACTGGGCGCGGTGGAGCTGGCCAACTGGGCGGCGCACGAGTTTGGCACTGGCGGCAGCGACAGCCCCACTGACGGCTCCTCGCTGCAGCAGCTTGACCTACTGGGCGGCATGACGCTGGCGGGGCTGCTCGCTGCGCTACCCGCAAGCAGCGGCGGCAGCGTCAACAGCAGCGGCGGTGCTGCCAAGCCGGGCGCCGCAGTCAGAGAGAGCGGCATGGATTCCCCTGCATGGGCACCTGCCACAGCCAGCCCAGCCAGCTCAGCGATAGGCGCCCAAAGCAGCGGCAGTAGCAGCCTGGCCAGCAGCGTGATACTTGAGCAGCCAACAGCTGCCGTGGAGGCTCCTGCTGCAGGAACGGCAGCCGGCACCGGCTTTGTGGTCACTCATGCAGGAGTGGCCGAGCGCCGCGCCGCAGTCGTGGCCAAGCTGGCAGCGCTGCTGGGCTGCGCCGCTGAGGCCATCTCTGACCACGAGCCCCTGGCAGACCTGGGGCTGGACTCACTGGGCGCGGTGGAGCTGGCCAACTGGGCGGCACACGAATTCGGCACGGACGGCGTCGACAGCCCCAGCGATGGCTCTTCGCTGCAGCAGCTCGACCTGCTGGGCGGCATGACACTGGCTGGGCTGCTGGCTGCACTGCCGGCTGTCAGCAACAGCAGCAGCGTCGACGCCGAACAGGACTCCGTTGCACCCAGCGTTGCGGCGGCCCCGGCATGGGCGCCCCCCCCAGCCAGCCCGGCTGGCTTTGCGAGCAGCGCTTTGAACAGCAGCAGCAACAGAAGCTGGGAGCAGCAGGCAACTGCGGCGGCTGCAGCTGCCTCTGTCACGTTTGGCGGAGGCGTGCCGCACGCCACAGTCGTGTCCACAGTCAGGGCTCCCAGCGGCGCTGCAGACGCCGAGCGCCGCGCCGCAGTCGTGGCCAAGCTGGCATCGCTGCTGGGCTGCGCACCTGAGGCCATCTCTGACCACGAGCCCCTGGCAGACCTGGGATTGGACTCACTGGGCGCGGTGGAGCTGGCCAACTGGGCGGCACACGAGTTTGGTACTGGCGGCGGTGACAGCTCCAGCGACGGCTCCTCGCTGCAGCAGCTCGACCTGCTGGGCGGCATGACGCTGGCGGGGCTGCTGACAGCACTGCCCTCATCCTTGAGCAGCACCAGCGGCGGCGCTAGGCAGACGGATGACGCAGTTCAACCCAGCGCCACGGCAGCCTCAGCATGGGCGCCCGCTGCTGCCAGCCCTGCCGGCTTTGGGGGCGCCTTTAACAGCAGCAGCAACGGAAGCTGGGAGCAGCAGGCGCCAGCGGCTGAAGCTGCCTCCCTTGCAGTTGGTGGAGACGGCAATGGTGTGCATGCCGGCTTCGCCGCAGCTACCAGTGCTCGCAGCGGTGCAGCAGCGGCTGAGCGCCGCGCCGCGGTTGTGGCCAAGCTGGCAGCGCTGCTGGGCTGCGCACCTGAGGCCATCTCTGACCACGAGCCCCTGGCAGACCTGGGGCTGGACTCGCTGGGCGCGGTGGAGCTGGCCAACTGGGCGGCGCACGAGTTTGGCACTGGCGGCGTCGACAGCCCCACTGACGGCTCCTCGCTGCAGCAGCTTGACCTGCTGGGCGGCATGACGCTGGCCGGGCTGCTGGCCGCGCTGCCCGTGGTCAGCAACAGCGGTGGCGATGGGAGGCCCGACGGAGCTGTGATGGATGTTGCAATGACGCGTCCTGCAATCAGCTGGGATTCGGCGGCGCCGGCGCAACCCGCAGCTGCAGCAAGCGGCGCCACCACGACGGGCAGCTTTGCGCACAGTAACGGTGCCAGTGGCGTGGCGATTGGCTTGGATTGGCAGCAGCAACAGCAGCAGCAGCAGCAGCAGCAGCAGCAGCAGCAGCAGCAGCAGCAGCAGCAGCAGCAGCAGCAGCAGCCGCAGCCGCAACGTGGCCTGAATGTGAGCGTCTTTGCTCCCCTCGCAGCGGAGGCCGCCCGCGCCGACCAGGGCCCCGAGGCGACCTTGTGGCCGGGCAGCGATTTTGCCCGAAACCATGAGGAGGCACACGAGGAGGGATCCGAGGACGGGTTTGCCTCAGCAGAGGACGAGGACGACGCGACGCCACGCGACGGGCGCTCCTGGATGGGTGCGCCCGGCTCGACGGCAGAAGCCGACGCGGGTGCAGCTGCCGCGGCCGGCGGGGGCGACGGCGTCAGGGTGGAGGTCGCCGCCGGCGGCGCCGCGGCCGTTGTGACGGTCTGGCTGGAGGCGCCTGCGCTCGGCTTGGGCGCACTGCGCGCTCTGTCCGCGGCCGTGCGCGCACACGAACGGTCAGTGCTGGTGCTGCGCGGCGCATCCCCCCAGGCCTTCTGCCTCGGGTGGGACGCCGACGGCGCCGCCGCCGCTGCCGCGGCCGCGGCGGCGGCAGGAGGAATGGGCGGCGCCGCGGCTGTCGGTGCGGCGTTCGAAGAGGCGCTGCTTGAATTCGGGGCCCTGGCAGAGGCGCTCGAGGCGCGGGAGATGCCGACCCTGTGCCTCGTGGCCGGCCGCGCGGCCGGCGGCGGGCTGCTGCTGCCGGCGATGGCGGACGTTGTTATTGCCACTGCGGGTGCGCGGCCGTCGTGAAACCGATGTCTTTGACCTTGGATGTTTCTTCTTCTGCTACCGCTGCTGCTGCTGCTGCTGCTGCTGCTGCTGCCGCTGCTGCTGCTGCTGCCGCTGCTGCTGCTGCTGCCGCTGCTGCTGCTGCTGCTGCTGCTGCTGCTGCTGCTGCTGCTGCCACCAGCCCCCAGCCCACTAAACAGTGTTGCAAGTGGCAGACGCAGGGCCTATGGTGTGTTCGGCCCTGCGCCCCTGATCACCAACCCCATCCCACCGCTCCTACCCGCGGCCCCGCCCTCTCACTCACCCTTTCCTCGACCTCCCCCACCCCCCTTGCATTTCCTCCCCAGACGCCACCTTCAGCCTGCCCGAGCTGTCCCGCGGCCTGCTGCCCGGCGTAGTCTCCTACGCCCTCCGCCGCCGCCTCCCGCCTGCGGCGATCCGCCGTATGGGGCTCACCTGCGATGCGCTGCCCGCGCACAAGGCCGAAGCCCTTGGCCTCGTCGACGCCGTGTGCGCCACGCTGCCGGAGGCCGAGGCCGCGCTGCGCGCCGCCGCGGCCCGGCTCGCGCGGCGGCAGCCGGCGCTGCTCGCAGCTGCGAAGCGGCTGCCCGCCGGCAGCATAGATGAGGGTCTGCTCGCGGGTGCCATGGTCACGGCCGACGCAAGATCGCGGGAGGCGGCCGTCCTGGGCCGCGGCGACGCGGTGGTGGTGACGTTCCCTCAACCCAGAGTGGCTGTCCTGGAGCTCAACATGCCGACCACGGGTGAGCCGCAGGGCCCCCACAGACGGGCGGACGGCCAGGCCAACGGCAGCTGCACGCCGTCCGCGCGCCCGCGCGTCTCACGCACTGACACATGTGGTCCGCAGCCCCGCAACAGCTGAGCGCCGCCGCGCCGCCGCCGACGCCCCTGCACCCCGCCCTGCCCCCCCGCAGGCAACGCGATGAACCCGCGCTTCTCCGCGGGCCTGTCCGCCGCGCTCGACGCCGTCGAGGCGCGCGCCGCCGACCTGTCAGCCCTCGTAATCCACGGTGCCGGCGCCCACTTCTGCACCGGCATGGACCTCTCCTACGCTGAGTCAGCGCGCGCCGCCGGCGGCCTGCTGCCCGGCGCCGCGGCGGCGCTCGCGCTGTCGCGGTGCGTCGCGCGCATCTCGCGGCTGCCGGTGGCGGTGCTGGCGGTCGCGCACGGCGCGGTGACCGGCGGCGGCGTGGCGCTGGCGCTGCACGCGGACTGGAGGGTCGCTGCCGAGGATGCCACGTTCTGGTGGGCGGGGCAGGCAGGGCTGGAAAATGCACAGGAAACAACAAGCAAAGGGCTTGGGGAGTGTGGGTGGGGGCAAAGCCCCTGAATTTGTGCTTGTGTGCAACTCCTGGGCCGCCACGTCCGCGCGCGTGCGCCGCCTCCTGGGCCGTGCTCGCACTCAAGGTGGGCAGCTTGTCCCAAATTTTGGCAGCTTGCGCCGCAAGAGTGTGGCAGCCTGGAGCCCCGGCCACCCCATCATGGACGCACACACGGACGCATCCAGGCCTCCAGCTGCTCACTGAAAATCCATGCAAACCACCCCTGTCCCTGTCCCGCCAGCTACGGCAACCTCAGCCGCGGCACCAGCCCGCTGTTCGGCCTGTGAGCTCCGCCGCGCCGCCGCCCGCGCCGTGCCCCCGCCTGCGCCCTCCCCTTTGACCCGTCTGCAGCCCGCGCGCCCTGCCCCTGGACCCGGCCCTGCAATTTCCCGCGGGAGCAAAGGCCGGTGTCGCATTGACAAGCGCCCCCAGCCACGGTTCACACCCACAGCATCCACCTCCTAATCAACCCCTCCCTCATGCTCGCCCCGCCCCGACAGGCCGCAGCTGCTGACGCGCGCGGTGTCGCTGCCAGGCGCGATGGGCCTCTACCTGTCTGATGCGACGCTGACGGCGCAGCAGGCGGCTGCCGCCGGCCTCATCCACGAGGTCGCGCCTGACAAGCCCTCAGCGCTCGACCGTGCCCTGCGGCTCGCAGCCGAGGTTGCGGCGGCGCCGCCGCGGGGCGTGGCGGAGACGATGGCGCTATACCGCCGCGCCGCGGCCGCCGGAGGCGGCGGCGGCAGCGGCGCGGCGCTCGAGGCGGAGGCGCTGGCGGCGGGGAGGTGCCTGAGGGAGGGATCGTTCCGACCGGAGCTGATCCGCGCCAATAAGGCGGCCGCGGCGGCCGGCCGCGCGCGCGGGACCGCTGCTCCCGGCCAGGCGGTTGCCGCGGCGCCTCCCGTAGCCGCGGCCCCAGCCCTGGCCCCGCCGCAAGCGGCGTCAAAGGCCGGCAGCCACCCGCCGGCGGCGGAGGGCAGGGGCCTGCCGGCGGCGGGTTCGCTCGAGCCGCCGGTGACGCCGACGCCGTCCGCGGCCGCAGACATGCCGCCCCCGCCGGCCCCGGCCGCCGTCGCTGCTGCCGCCATCGACACAAACACTGCCGCGGCGGTCGACAGCGGCGCCGCCAAGGCCCCCGCGGCGTCGGCCGCGGTCACCGCCGCCGCGGCGGCCCCCGGCGGCGCCTTGGCGGGCATCCACGCTATCGAGGCCTACGTCCCCGGCAACCGTGCCTCCATGGAGGAGTTTGAGCGCCTCGCCGGCGGCGGCCTGGCCGGCAAGTTCAGCCGCCGCCTGGGGCTGCACGAGCTGTCGTTCCCGGGCGCCGACGAGGACGTGGTGTCGATGGCGCTGACGGCGGTGGCGCGCCTGATGGAGCGCCACGGCGTGCCCGCGGCCAGCGTGGGGCGCCTGGAGGTGCGGCGCCGCTGCATGTGTCAGCCCGTCTGGGCCGCCAGACTTGTTTCCAGCCACCATCCCCTGGCGAGCTGGCCGCCGGCATCGCGCCACCCCCTCGCTCAGCGCCGATCCTTGCCACAGCCCTGCATTCACCCTATCCCCCTCTCAGACGCCGCCAGCCCCCACCCTATCCGCAGCTTGCGCCCTCTCCGCATTCCCCCGCCGCTGCACCTTCCGCAACTGCCCCCTCGCTTTCGCCCCCGACGCCCACGCTTCTCCCTCCAAAAAAACTTCTGTCCACAGGTCGGCACCGAGTCGTCCGTCGACCGCGCCAAGTCCATCAGATCCTACCTGCTCCAGCTCTTCCCCGCTGCGGGCGCCCAGCTGGAGGGCGCCGACGTGGTGCACGCCTGCTACGGCGGCGTCGCGGCGCTGCTCAACGCGCTGGCCTGGGTGGAGTCCGAGGCGTGGGACGGGCGCTGGGCCGTGGTGGTCACGACGGACACCGCGTCGATGCACCCAGACGGTGGGCTGGAGAGGACCGGCCGTGTCTGCCTGTACTTTTTTGCGCGAGAAAGCAGGGAAAGGGACAAGGGCCGCTGCATCTGCACGTTCGACGCGGACGGTGCAGCGCACGTAGGGCGCCCGCCAGCCTGCTGGTGGTATGAGCAAGTGCGGCGTTTCGGCAGGGCGGCCGGCGGAGATGCTGTTTGTTAGGTCGTGTCGGTCTGCAGCTCCTGGTGACATCCTGCCATGATAACCAGCCCCGCTCCCTGCCCTCGCCCCCCTCACGGCGGGCGCCCTTGGATGCACCACCGACGCCGGCTCCCCCTTTGCCGCGCCGCCCCTCACACCCCACCAGGCCCCCTCGGCTGCTTCTTCGGCGCCGCGGCCGTCGCTATCCTCGTCGGCCCCGACGCGCCCATCGTGATATCCCCAACCCGCGCCAGCATCGCCCGCCACAGCCTCGAGTTCCTGAAGCCCACTGCCGGCCTCGCCGCCTCCTCCCCAGCCGCCGCGCTCGCCGCCGGCGCCGCACCGCCGCGGCCGCCGCCGGCGGGCGGCCCGGGGGGCGCGG